CCTCAATTCTTGTCTCGCAGGAAAGAAGAATTTTCTTGCAGACACAGTTTAGTTTTAAAGCAAGATTTATTAGAAAAGTTGAGAAAGGAGACTCCCAGCCTAGTGATGGGAGGGGACTCTGAGACAGAAAGGACCCTTACCCGCTGCCATAGTGGCAGGAGGAAAAGTGAAAAAGAAGACCCGTATTAATGGTGGGGAAGGCGTCTTTTAAAGGTTCCCCTCAAAGATGTTCCTCCATAAACAAAGGAGAATTCCTGGTTTCCATGGTACCTGGCCTTGGGACAAACGGCCAGAAAGGTGTCACTGGCCAACTTCCTTGGTCCCTTTTTAATGAGAGGCCGGACTGAAGCCCTCCCCCTTGGCAATGGCCATAGACAGAACTGGGCTGAGGCTTCAGGTGGGGAATTGATACATGAATGTCACTCTTGTCCCTTGGGGAAGCATGTTCCTGATAAGTTAAGACATGCACTTGTCTTGGGAGAAACGTGCTCTGGTGAACCCAAGACATGATGGGGAAAATATGATTTTATATTTGAGAAAAAAAAATGACTTGGGAACCCAGAATATCCTAACTGCCTACTACCCAGTCTAACTTCTCTCTCACTAGGAACCAGCAGCCGGGGGCCCAATATCCAGGCCATCTTCTGCTGCTTTTTTCGGGTCATCAGCAGGGAACTGGATTGGAAGTGGAGATGCCTAGATTCAAACCTGTGCTCATAGTATAAGATTAGGGTAGGGGATATGTTTTTTAAGTAATGATAAGGATTAATTAGGGATCTCAATAAATTAGTGAGAAGTAGATGAGGAAAAGATCATGAGTGATAAAAAGATGTATGAATTAGGCAACATTAGAGAGGTAGTCACTGGGCACTGCTCATCTAACTGATGATTTTGCTTCTGTACTGACTGCGCTTGCTTTAAATGTAAGAGACAAGACTAACGCCATAACAGTAAGAGAGTAGGCCTAAGTCTCGTTTCCCAAAGGTGACAGCAAGGGCTCTTGGAGAACACCCCAGGAAGGAAGGAAGGAAGGAAGGAAGGAAGGAAGGAAAGAAAGAAAGAAAGAAAGAAAGAAAGAAAGAAAGAAAGAAAGAAAGAAAGAAAGAAAGAAAGAAAGAGAGAAAGAGAGAGAGAGAGAAAGAAAGAAAGAGAAAGAGAGAAAGAGAGAAAGAGAGAAAGAAAGAGAGAAAGAGAGAAAGAGAGAGAGAAAGAGAGAAAAAGAAAGAAAGAGAGAAAGAGAGAGAAAGAGAGAGAGAAAGAGAGAAAGAGAGAAAGAAAGAGAGAAAGAGAGAGAAAGAGAGAAAGAGAGAAAGAGAGAAAGAAAGAAAGAGAGAGAGAAAGAGAGAAAGAAAGAAAGAAAGAGAGAGAAAGAGAGAGAGAAAGAGAGAAAGAAAGAGAGAGAGAAAGAGAGAAAGAGAGAAAGAAAGAAAGAAAGGAAGGAAGGAAGGAAGGAAGAAAGAAAGAAAGAAAGAAAGAAAGAAAGAAAGAAAGAAAGAAAGAAAGAAAGAAAGAAAGAAAGGAAGGAAGGAAGAAAGAAAGAAAGAAAAATAAATTAAAAAAAAAAAAAGCCCTTCGCATTGGGTGAGGGCAACAGGCCAGTCATTGTCAGCTCTCACAGTTCTTTGTGTAATTTGATCTGCACTATGTGAATATGCAGTATGTAACCAAGAGATCATGTGACTAGGAGGATATAAAAGCTGCCTGGGAGAACAAACAGGGTCCTGGTCAAGACTCCACTGCTCTGGATGAGACTGGGACCCTAGCTCAAGCTAGCAAGAAAGTTTCTTTGCTTTTACATTGTTGCATGTGGAACTCGGCTGTCTGTCCGCAGTCCAGGGATCTTTTGGACCTAACAATATAGGATACCAGTGACCCAAGTACAGGTTTGATCTACTGGGCCACAATGATGCTCTTCCAATTTTTTGAATGTTCAACACAGCCTGTCTTTGAAACTGTTGATAGAAATTTGTATGGTGGGAAAGCAGGGATCCCAAGGGGCCAGTAAAGAGTTCCTGAGGGGCCACTCATGCTGCCACTGGCATAGCCAAAGGGGTGTTCCTGGCAGAAAAGCACTGGTGACCCTCACGCTATGGGGATTCTGGGAGCTCTTCTACCCTGGACTGTGTGTAGATGTGCCCGCGTGGCTGGCCTTCAAGCTACCACAGGGACAAGTGCTGTTTGCTTCCCTCATTGTAGGTGGGCATGGAGACAGTGGAGAAGATGAGAGCTCATGGACAAAACAAGCGTCTACCCCGGTGCCCAGCCCTTACTCCACAGACCCCAACAGGCTCCTACTAAGCCCTGTTTCAGGCAGCATTGCCAGAGCAGGTCCCGATCCAGGACGCGCAGGACACTGAAGAGCCAAGCTCCAGGTGTCACTGTCAGCCTCGTGAGACAGCAGGAGACACCCAGCACGCTGGAGAGCTTGACCCTGATGAAAATCTACACAACCATGTGTACCAGCTCCACACACATCTGCACCCCTGCGAGAGCTGCATCCCACGGCTGCCCAGGAAAGGCCTAGGACTGCCAAGGTCATGGAGGCTTGCTGGGCCATGAGCAGTACTGCCCACGTGACATGGCACTTGTCATTGTGGGGTAGAAAGTGCATATATAACGGACCAGGTACAGAGTCATAATATTGACAGGCAAGCAGCAAATTTTTGCCACTCCTCTGAACTCAGCTCTCTGGAACATTTCTTGATTCCGAGCTACATTTGAAATCTACCTTGACATTTTTGGAGGAAAGAAAGAAATTTTAGGTAAATTTAGATGATTTTCCCTAGTAGAACCTTGGGCATCTTATATAAAAATGCCACGGAGAAATTGAGTGTTCAGGAAAGGAGATGAGATTGAGGGCTTTTATTCTTCTAGATTGCAAATATCCTCCACTGCTTTCCCAGGCCTTAAGCAGAGAGCTGAAGCAGAAGTGGAGCAGTCGGGACATGAAGCAATGCCTCTGTGGCATGTTGTGCCGTAACACTGGGCCACACACAATTTCTTTTACTCTGTATTCATTAACAGATGAGAGGAATCACAGGACACTTGTCTGTGCTGGGCTCATTGCACTTAGCATAATGACCTCCACTTCCATCCACTTGGTTGCTAACGTCAGGATTTCATTTTTGGAGTTTTTTTGTGTGTGCCTGAGTACTATTCTATACTGTATATATGCCACATTTTCTTCATCTAGTCATCGCGCAATAGACATCTCTAAAATACAGTTTCTGACGTCAGGGAATCTGAACTTTTGAAGCTTACCCTGGGTCAGTAACACATCGAATTACTAATGAACTGCCAATACTTCCCTTAACCCACTGCTGTCCCCATGTCTGTGCTGTTGCATACAAACCATGAACATGTCTGTGTGCACACGATCAGATGATCACATTAAGGGGTTTCCTTTCCAAATGCCTTTTACCATCAATGAACTACAGAGTAACTGCAGCTCCTGAGCAACCCCCATCACTACCTGAGACCTGCAGGGGAGAGACCCGTGTAACAGCACCTCTCCAGCAAGAGGGCTGGCCCTGCTCCACCTCCACGACCACTCACACCATTGCCTCCTGGACTGGACTCACATCTTACGCTGCCTTGTGGCATTTTCAGGCTTACATCCACAGCGGCTGCTGTGTCCCAGTGCGACAATCTAAGTGTCTCCCTGTAACATGCCTGGGAAGGTGGGGGTCTCCTGCCACAAGGGAGACTGCATGGAGCACCCGGCTTCAGCCGAGCCCAGGTCTGGACAAGGCAGCCTTTCAGGAACTGTCTCTCCTTCTCTCTCTTTCAAATAAATACATACACTTTCAGAAAATTTAAAAGTTCACATTTTGTCAAGAGAGCTGTTGTGAAACTACGGTTAATAATAGTACACTGTTTTCTCAAAAATCACCAAGGGTAGATCTTAAGTGTTTGTCACCACACACACACACTATATAAGGTTGTACATGTTCATTTGCTCAACTTAACCATTTCAGAATGTATATTTTAAAACATATTATCTTAATGGTGATTTAAAAAAATATATTTATTTTTATTACAAAGTCAGATATACAGAGAGGAGGAGAGACAGAGAGGAAGATCTTCCGTTCGATGATTCACTCCCCAAGTGAGCGCAATGGTCGGTACTGCACCGATCCAAAGCCAGGAGCCAGGAACCTCTTCCAGGTCTCCCACACGGGTGCAGGGTCCCAAAGCTTTGGGCCGTCCTCGACTGCTTTCCCAAGCCAGAAGCAGGGAGCTGGAGAGAAGTGGAGCTGCTGGGATTAGAACAGGCGCCCATATGGGATCCCGGGCGAGTTCAAGGCAGGACTTTAGCCATTAGGCTATGCCGCCGGGCCCAATGGTGATTTTAAAATAATAAAATTAGGCTTATACTTGGTAGTTCAGGCTCAGCCCCCCAAAGCACTTTCTTGAATACACTCCCGCAGATTCCTATGGGGCATCTCGCTGGTTGAACCTGACAGTTGATGATGCCAGTTACCCACACACAAAGTGAACGCATTGAGGCAGTCTGCTGAGCCGCAGGACCACCACTCCACTCCAGGCCTTGCCTTTTTAAGAGTTAAATGGCACTCGGTCTCCACCGAGAAGAAACCCTAAAGGCAGGGACACACTCCCGGCCATTCCTACCCTGCCTGCGCCTTTCCCACAGCCATGTAACCAATTCTGGGCCTTCTCTCTGACAGACCTCAAGAACGCTTCCTGAGGTCCTACAAGGGCGGAAAGCGGGGAGCGGCGGGTCCCCACAAGACCGGAACCGTGGCCGCCGGCACAGCAGCGGGCAGCGACCCCACAGCGCCTCTCCCAAGGACACCTTCCCTCTGGTCCTCCTCAGGGCGGCTTGTCGCACTTGACCAGCCACCCGCCCTCAGCCCACCGCCACTGCCCGGCCCGCTGCCAGCGCCAGCGCCGCACTCAGTCCGCGCTGGAGCGCATGCGCCTCGCGCTAGGCGCGCGTCGTGACGTCACCGCGAGCGCCATCTCCAAACCATAACCCCGCTGGCTGTAGGAGTGAGTGTAGACGTTCGCGTGTCGGGTCGTGTGGACTTGGGTGCAAAGGAGCCGTGTACCCCACGAGGGAGGCTGCGGCGAAAAAGAGCTGCCGACCAACGTGGGGGAAAGGGGCGGATGTGACACCCGTCGTTGACGTCATCAGAGCGCACCGGAAGGGCCGCAGAATGAAGAGTAAGCGAGCTCGGGGGTCGAGGGTTGAGGGCCGGGAGCCGGGAGCCGTGCAGGGCCGGGACTTGTGCCGCCTGTGGCCGCAGGGGACGGGGAGCAGCTCTTCGCTCCACCCGGCGGTCGTCGGCATCCCGGAACGCGCGTGACCGGGGCCCGGGTGCTGCTCCCCGAGGGGCTGGTGCTGTCCCGACTCCCGGTCCGTGCGAACAACTTAGCAGCATTGTCAGAGCTTCCCGGCTTTTAAAAAAAGATTTATTTGTATTGGAAAGTCAGATTTACAGAGAGGAAGATCTTCCATCTGGTTCACTCCCCACAGCTGAGCCGATCCGAAGCCAGGAGCCTCCTCCGGGTCTCCCACGCGGGTGCAGGGTCCCAAGGCTTTGGGCTGCCCTCGACTGCTTTCCCAGGCCACAAGCAGGGAGCTGGAAGGGAAGTGTGGCTGCCAGGATTAGAACCAGCACCCACATGGGATCTCGGTGCTGTGTGCAAGGGGAGGACTTAACGGCTAGGCTATGCCGCCGGGCCCAGTTCTGTTTTTCGTATACACAAATAGGAATACCTTGTTTAGAGGCTAGTACAGAGTATAGTGTGACCATCCATGCATAGTTGTTGCGTTTTTCTTTTTTTAAGGATTTATTTTATTTTTATTGGAAAGTCAAATACACAGAGAGTAAGAGACACAGAGAGGAAGATCTTCCATCAGCTGATTCACTCCCCAAGTGGCCGCAATGGTTGGAGCTGAGCTGATCCAAAGCTAGGTGCCAGAAGCATCTTCTGGGTCTCCCACACGGGTGCAGGGTCCCAAGGCTTTGGGCTGCGCTCGACTGCTTTCCCAGGCCACAGACAGAGAGCTGGATGGGAAGCAGGGCAGCTGGGACATGAATCTATGCCTATATGGGATCCTGGTGCCTGCACGGTGAGGCTACTGCGCTGGGCTAGGCTGTCGCACCGGGACCCCATGCTTAGTTTTTAATCATATGCCTGGCAGGTAGCTAGTGTTCAACAAGGGTTAGATGAGTAGCATTACAGAAAGGATTCCAGATCCGAAGCTACATTGCTCTGACTGGCAGTCACACGTGGGGAGACCATGCTAGGTTGCTGCCTGCTTTGTAATCCCCATCTTGCAGCTGAAGAGTGAGACTATGAAACCCAGAGCCCCTGGGTGTGCTTGGTCAGACGTGCGGGCTGGACGCGTGAGAGCGCAGATGGGATTTGTAAAGCAGTGAAGCAGGTTTTCTTGTCTTTGGATCTTGCAGCCCCACTTTTGTCGCCTCCTTACCATTCACACAGTATCGTTGCCAAGCCACAGTTTTCTTTCTGTCTTAGACCAAGTGAGTAAGAAACAAGAGGATGTATGCTTTCAGAAACTGAAAACACACTGATTAATAATGAATTTTGAGACTGAAGAAAGACCTGCTGCATTTTACCAATTCAGGACACCATCAATTTCAGGACATACATTTCTACATTGTTACTAAAATGTGAAAACTGTTGTTTAAACATCTTACGTTCAATGAAATACAAGGTTTCCAGCATGTATCCTAGGCAGCTATAGCACATAGCTTTATTTTTTTTAAGATTTATTTTTAATTAGAAAGGCATATATACAGAGAGGAGGAGAAACAGAAATATCTTTCATTCACTGATTCACTTCGCAAGTGGCTGCAATGACTGGGGCTGCGTTGATCCAAAGCCAGGAGCCAGGAGTTTCTTCTAGGTCTCCCACACAGGTGCAGCGTCCCAAAGCCTTAGGCCATCCTCTGCTGCTTTCCCAGGCCACAAGCAGGGAGCTGGATGGGAAGTGGGGCTTCCGGGACATGAACTGGCACCCATACGGGATCCTGGCACGTACAAGACAAAGACTTTAGGCTAGCACGCTGGGCCCACACATAATTTTAAATGAGCCACTCCATTAGCAACTTTCAAGCTTAGGGTTTTGGCACTTTATGATCCACACACCTGCAGTAGCATCTTCAGACTCCTTAGAAATGCATAATTTGGGGATGGGCACCCAAAATCCACACTTTAGTAGGAACCCAAAGTTCTTTTGCCCTTAAAATTTAGAAGCACTCTTTGGGGGAAAAAAAAAACTAATTTATTTATTTGAAAGTTACAAGAGAGAGAAAACACAGAGAAAGATTGTTCCCCCTCCCCAGGTGGTCGCAAGAACCAGGACTGCTGCGGGCTGAGGAACCAGGAACGTCACTCAGATTTCCCTAGACACGTGGCCGTCTTCCACCATTTTTCCCTTAGTGGGAGCTGGGTAGGAAGTGGAGCAGTATATGGCAGCACTTGTATAGGATGCCAGTGTCATAGGTGGCAGCCTCACCCAGTGCACCACAACCCCGGCTTCCTGGGAGGCGCCCTTGAAACCACAGCCTTGGGTCTTCTAGGGTACCGCGTGACGCCTTGGTGCTTTGCACTTCCTGCCTAGGTGAACACGGCTGTGTCCCGGATCTCATAACCACACCTTTTTTTATTCTTTTCTCCTGCAGATATAATCTACCATGGCCTACCTCAGAAAGAGGAGAAAGAAGGGGACGTTGAGGTAAGGATGTGGACTGGAGGTGTGGGAGCATCCTGGGAGGTGATGGCAAGGGTCACTCCATTGGGTTCCGGAGCAGCTGTCCTCTCCCACATCCTTGCAGCTGACACTCCAGGCGTGGCCAGACTGTGTTGTTCTGGGGACCTGCCTCACTTAACAGCCTCCTTTCCCTAGTGCCAAAGTCAGGTTTGATAACCTGGGAGGCACTTCATGATCTGTGCCGTCTCCCAGGCCCAGCTGAGACCTGCCCTGGGGAGCCCTTGTTTGCCCTTGTTACGCAAAGTCCTATTCCCTAAGTGGAATTTGCAGCTTGCATCCTGAGGCTGCAGCATCCTTTGTCGCTTGCACAGAATTTCCACCTGTGGCTCAGAGAGTCTGAATGAGCAGCAGACCTTTCTGTGGCTGCCCCTTGAGAGGGACTCCTGATATACTAAGAAGAGTCAGCCATTTGCCTTCCAGTAGTGATCGTGTTGATGGCGCAGGAACTAGTCTTTCGCATGTAAAGTTAAGCTGGAACAGACACAGTTGCTGTGCCTACTGTGAGCTGCCCTGAGGATTCCTGCCTCCCTTGGGGGGCGAGGGGAGGAAAGTGCTCCGTACACAGTACCCAGGGACGGCTTGCTCTCAGACTGTGTACACAGCCTGGATGGTGTAAACAGGCCTGGGAAAGGCCCCAGCTAGGCGGCAGGCCTCTGCAAGGAGCAGGACCAGGGCTGTGGGAGCAGCAGATTGCTGGAACTCCAGCTTAACGGCCAGTGATGCCAGTGGGGTACAGGACTCACTCACTGTTAGTTATTTAAAAGAATGTAAGAGTTCTAGTTTTAGGTTATACGATATTAAGATACTTTACGCGCAGCTAATTCTCGCAACCTGGTTCTTTACCGTGAGCTGAAAACACCAGACGCAATGAGGTATCTTAGGAGGTTTATTCCAGTAGGGCAGGAACAAGGTGGAGGTAGTGGAGGTCAGGAGGAGAAAAGAGGCAGAAGGAAACACCTGGGGCCTTTTATGCAGGTAGGCCCAGGCCCGGAAGGTGTAAGGGGGGGCGGGGATTGTGGGGGTTTGAGGGCAGGCCTCAGGGGATTAGTGCCTGCAGGTAAATGCCTGGGGATGATTGGTGAGTGGGCGGGGTTAGGGAATGGGCTGGGGGTTTGGGGGTGGGATTCTCAGGTGGAATGCCAGGTTACATCTGATTTGTGGATGGCTGGACTGGCGCGAATCCCGTGAGCTGTGAGGAAGAAGAAATGGCGCAGGGTCCAGGGTGGGATATTGGAATAAGTCCTTACACTCACAATCATGGCAGAGTGTCCCAAGTCCTCTCAGAATCTGTGCCCATTCACTCCGTGGTGCTGCCCAGAACACAGGCCAAGGGGCACCTGATGGCTCCTGCCTGTGGGCTGTGGGCACAGAGTCAAACCAGGGCCACAGGACTGGCAACTCACAGCCAGCAGGCCCCAGTGGCAGCATGAGCTTGGCCTAGTCGGGAGCACCGGCTTCCTGCTGTTCACACTGGTATGAGGCGTCACACCCCTCACGGCTGAGGCAAGCCTCCCAGGTCTGCTTCCAAATGTAAACAATTGTTATCCTCGTCAGAGAAACCTCAGAGGAGCAAGACAGGAAGTTGGTCCTTATGTGGCCAACAGTCATTGAATAGACATAGAGATGTGACAGCTTGGCAGTTGTGAATGGCAAACACTTGGCAGAGAGTTGATGTGAGTGTCGGAGGGTAGGCAGATGGGTTAGCTCAGGCAGCCCACCTTCTGTGTACCTGGGGTCCTGAGGGTCCCACACTAGAACAGCCTCATCTCCATGCAGCACCTGGGAGCCCAGCGGGCCGAGGCTTTCGTGAAGGCCTTCCTGAAGCGGAGCACGCCTGGCATGAGCCAGCAGGCCCGGGAGAACCAGCTGCATCGCAAGGCCGTGGTCCTGGAGTACTTCACCCGCTGGAAGAAAAAGGACAAGAAGAAGAAATCCAAAGGCCTGTCTGCCAGGCAGAGGAGGGATCTGCGGCTCTTTGACATCAAGCCAGAGCAGCAGAGGTAAGCCCAGCCTTTCTGCGGGCAGTGCCCACTGCTGGGCCCAGTGTTCAGGAGGAGAGCCAGATTCCCGAGCAGGCAACCTTTCTGTCGTCTGCCACAAGGGGGCAGCCTTCCTTTACCAATTTGAATTTTGGGTCAGCCTTGTCATAACAAGGCTTGGTGAGAGGCAGCGCTTACTGCTTGGCTCTGTCCTAGGCATAACTAACAGACCAGTGCCATAAGTGAGTCTGTTGCCCATGGCAACAGGATGTTTGTCTCTCAGCTTTCTTAGAAAAAAGGAACTGATGTTTCTTAATATATAACTCTTAGGAGCTTTTAATAGCACCGGACAGAATTACCCACTGGAATTTTATTGCCAGAGAAAGATGATGCCTACACACGTGGGAAGCTTCTGAAAGGGCTGCCTCGTGTCTTCCTCCCTCTGGCCCACATCCCGCCTCTCCTGGCTGCAGTGCTGAGTTTGCGTGTCTCAGGACCGTGTGTAGCCTTTGCTCAGAGATCTAGAGCCAGATGGCCTCCCCAGAAAATTCAGAGTATGCCGTCTGCCCATGACCAGTCCGACAAAGTCATGTGGGCTCCCTTTGGGGAAGGGGCCGCCGCCTGCCCTCGCCTCCCTGAGGTCCTCACACCCAGAGCTCACTGTGGGCTTGAGCTCTGATTCTCACTTCTCTGACCTGTGGCTTCACGTTAGTGGGCTTGCTGGCAGACAAGGTGAGAGCCTCAGAGGGAAGCCTCCAGGGCCCTCCCACCAGCTCATTCGGCCTCCAGACAGACCTGCTCCGCGATGCAGGTACCTGCATGAAAACTAGCAGTGCCTGTTCACTGACGGCTTACTCGGGTCCACTTCACGGGCCTGAACACTTGAAATAACAGTGATGGAAGCATGGCTGAAGTTTATTCCTCGTGATACGAAGTCCAGTGAACTCCACCTTGAGCTGCTGTGGCAGCAGGCCCACAGCCGTCAGCAACCCAAGCATCACCTCATTTCATGGTCCTCATGGTCTAAGATGTCTGCTTGAGTTCCAGCCATTGTGGTTGCATCCAGCCTTCAGGAAGGATAGGGGTGTGAGGCAGGGCAAAGAGCCATGCCTTGCTTTCCTTGGTCGTAAGAAGCTTAGTCTCAGGAAATTTTCCCCGTAAGCAGAAGTGAAGCTGCTTGCTTCAGTCAGACAGTAAACTGTGGAACTGAGGTTGGCACCCAACCCCAGAGGATCCCAGGCCACTGCTGATGGCACCAAACCAAGCTTTGTGCTGTTTGAGTGTTAGAATCCCGCGTTCACAATGCCTGACTGCCTGTTTCTGGCCTTCTCACAGGTACAGTCTCTTTCTCCCTCTACATGAGCTCTGGAAGCAGTATATCCGGGACCTGTGCAACGGTCTCAAGCCAGACACGTGAGTCGTTTCTGAAGCTTGCTCGTTGGGACACATCTTAGTCTTAGATCTTGTAAACACAGCCGTGGGGCTGAGGAATCGTATTGCCTAGCTGCAGAAATGTGTAGGCTCATTTGTTGCTCTCAGATTCCTTATCGTGCTGTGAACTAGGGACTTATGTTTGCTTTGTAGGCAGCCCCAGATGATTCAAGCCAAGCTGTTAAAGGCAGATCTTCATGGAGCTATTATTTCAGGTAATTTACCTAAGAGCACATGGCCGTCCAGATGCTGCCGCTATCATTCAATGGCAGCGCAATGCTTGGGTTGCATTGCGAAGCGTGTTGCAGGCCGCGGGCTCCTGGAGACGTTCCCACATCCCAGCAGCGAGGGCTGGAGCTGAGGACAGCTGCTTTAGCTGGTCAGACTGCTTGTTGGATGGAAGCCGAATGGCCTCTCTGTACCTTCACATAGGGTCTCCGTGGGTGCCCACACGGACCAGCAGCTGCTGACTCTCACCCTGAACATACAGAGGCCCTTTCATCCGGTGCCATGCTTTCGCCTGTCAGCAGTGACTGGCAGCTCCCAAGTTGAGATGTGCGTGCTAGACCTTCCCTAAACTCCCCCTGCACTCACATGTGCGTGGGCATCAGACTCAGTTGCTCCCTTGGCTCTCCCACCTCCTGGTGGTACCCATGTTTACCCTGCCTGCATGAGCCACAAGGCTGGGAAGCGTGACAGCGTCTTCCTTCCTGACCCCAGCTCTGGTCCCTGGGCACCTGAATACAAAGCCCTAGCATCTCTAGATGCCCACAGACGCCCCTGACCCTACCCTGGCTCACACACCAGTCCTGTCCCTACGGAAGAAATCAGGCCATGCCCTTCCTCCCTTTGAACTTCCTGACAACTGCCCCATGTAAAATTCTGGCTGCTTCCTGTGGTTTAGAAGGCCCCAGTGCCATGGCTCCTCCATGCTTCTCGCGGCAGGCTGGGCCCTGCCCCAGGGCCTGTGTCTACTCCATGGATTCCTCCTCAGATGTTGCTCTTCCCAAGGACATGCCCATCCTAAAGGCTATTGCCTCTGCACACTCCCCTATCCCTGTCTTCTTCTTGACACTTACTACAACTGTCCATGGTGTCCTGCACACCCCTTGCTGCCCGCATCAGCAGTCTACTCCGTGAGAGCAGGCTCCCAGACTGCCACATTTGGGGTTGTGGCCAAGCACCCAGGATGTACTCAGGGCATGTCTTGACAATGTACAGGCAATGTACAGCTGAGGGCCTGCTGCCTGTGCTGGGGCCCACTTCTCATCACTGCAGCCGGGTAACTATGGCAGGACAGGGAGTGTGTCATGGATGGTGCTCGTGCAGACTCTGTAAGTGACACTTGCATTCTTCAGCACAGCCAGATGGCCCTGAGGGTGTTGGGTACAGCCCTGACCTCCAGGCTGCGGAATCCTTCCCAGTGGCTGGGGAATCCTTCCCAATGGCTGGGGACTGTCAGCTCTGAGAGCACATGAAGTCAGGCCAAGCCAGAGGCGGCAACATGGGGCAAGGGGTTGGGCAGCTAGGGTCTCGCCCGGTGTGGCCCCTTCCCCAGCTAGGGAGCCTCTGCCCTCTGAGGCTCACCACGTGGCACCAGCACCCTGAACCAAGGTTCTGCCGGCACCAGGGACCTGAGCCTTGCACTGTCTTTTTCTTTTCAGTCACAAAATCCAAATGCCCCTCCTATGTGGGCGTCACAGGAATCCTTCTACAGGAAACAAAGCATGTCTTCAAGATTATCACCAAGGAAGATCACCTGAAAGGTAGGGACACTGTGTGAGGGCAGGGGGGCAGAGCTCGCAGCTGCTTCCTGCCGCTTCCCTGAGGGCTCTAAGAACGAGTTGGGTTTGCTGAGTAGCAGCATCACAGCAGCATCACAGCCTGCAGAGCCATTCTCTCACCCATGGCTTTCCCCAGAGGCAGCAGTGTGCACAGCTAGGAGCCCAGCCAGAGAAAGAACTGCCTGCCTGTACCCTGAGTGGCCTGGGTATATCTGGGATCCTGTCTGAGCAAAGCCCGCTGCCCCCAGGAGAGCCCGAGCCCCAGCAGCTGTGCCCTGGGTGGTGACACTGGAGGTCTGCTGGTGGCCAGCAGTGCTCTGACAGACACACGGTGGTCTCCGTATTCTCACACAAGGCCAGAGAATTCCCACAATGGCTGCAGGGGTTTTTTGGTTTTTGTTTGTTTGTTTGTTTGTTAGCTTTAATTTTAGAGTATGATTTTGCTTACTGCTTCTGTCCATGTCCCTAGATGTTCTTTGCTTCAGGAAATGGTGTCAGAGTTCCTCCTGTCCCACTAAGCCCAGGCTATAAGCACAGCTAAAGGTTACATGAAAAAACCTGCTTGCAGAACATCCTGGCAAGTTCCAGTGCTGGAACTTTGGTTCATAGCCTTTGGCTCTGAAAACGAGGCTGAGATATATCTGGAACATGGGTAGTCACAGACAGTCCTGTGGTGCTACTTTTGGGTTGGGTTTCCTCGTTTCTTATTATCTTACTTCTTAATATAAGTGTTTTATGAATAATACAAGGAGTCTTCCGTTATCTTTCAAATCCCCCCCCCCCCATTTTCACTTTACTTGGAAAAGCGAGAACCTCCACCAACTGCTTCAACCACACAGAACCCAGTCTGGGTCTCCCACTTGCGTGGTTGGGGCCCCTGTGCTTGAACCATCACTGCTGCCTTCCACAATGCTCGTTAGCAGGAACCTGGATTGGAAGCAGAGCCAGAACTCAAGTCCAGGCACTTCATTGTTGACTCTGGGAGCCAAAAATGCCATCTTAACCACTACACCAAACGCCCTTATAGGATCTTTCTCTTATTTGAAAGAGCTACAGAGAGACAGGGAGAGAGAGCGCTTTCATCCGCTGATTTGCTCCCTAGATGGCCACAACGACTAGCCCTCACCATGCCAAAGCCAGGAGCTTCTTGCAGATCTCCCAGATGGGTGGCAGCGGCCCAAGCACTTGGGCCATCCTCCACTGCTTTTCCTCAGCTGTTAGCGGGGAGCTGGATTAGCTGGATTGGGAGTGGAGCAGCCAGGGCCCACACGGGACACTGACATGGCACACAATGGCTTTGTCTGTTGCACCATGACTCTGCCCCCTCCCCCTCCCCCGACACACTGTCTTTAATTCTTCCGTGAACTTTTTTTGAAATACCTGCCTATTTTACATAAAGGTAAACAGGGTTTCTTCCACCTCTCATTTTTTTTCTTTTTTTTTTCTTTTGTTTTCCAGTTATCCCCAAGCTAAACTGTGTATTCACTGTGGAAATAGATGATTTTATTTCCTACATTTACGGGAGCAAATTCCAGCTGCGGTCAAGTGAGCGGTCTGCAAAGAAGTTCAAAGCGAAGGGAACTATTGACCTGTGAGCGCCGTGCTGCCTGTAGCAGCTGAGAACCGGAAACGCCCCAAACGCCCACCTTCCAGTCAGGATACGACCCTGTCCCGCTTGCGGAAATGAGAGTTAAGGACATTTAGTTAAACGATGGGGGACGCCACGCAGAGTATGGAGGGAGAAAGGGAATGGAGGAATTCCTGTTTCTAGGTGGTCTCCATTCTGCATTGTCCCCATGGAGAGTGAAGACTGACTGACTGGAAGCCTGGGGTTCTTAGGGTCCTTATACTTCATATTGCCCTGTGTCTTATGGAGAGTCAGTTGTTTCATAGTGAAACATTCACGTTGACATAAACAGACTGGAAGTAAACAAGTCTCCTTGCTATTCTCAACTCCAGCCTGGAAGGGAAGAGAACCCAAAGTTGCCACCGGAATGGTGCTTTTTGCCATGTCTGGAATCACCTCCCACCAGGCACCGTGTGTCAGGGTGGCTGCGCATGTCTGACATACTTCTCCAAACCCTTCCTGCTCCTGAGCTCTCGACCTAGTTAGCCACAGTTTACTTTGCTGTTTCAGAAACGGATTAGAGGCTAGGTGGCTTGGGCTTGGTCACCTCAGGAATTCGAGCCGAGATGGGCCAAATAGACAAGGTGCCAGGTCTAGTTTGTGCTCATCACTGGTTGTTCTGCTACAGGCAGAAGGAGCAAAACCCCAGAGGTGGGCCGCCTGTAAGAAAGCCGGGTGCTGCAGCCCTTCACAGGGTGGCTTGCTAGGAGAGCCACAGTCCCCCGGAGTAGCACTTTTTCACATCTTGGTTCTGTGTGGCTTTTTCAGTCTTGCTCTAGCTCCGTGTACCAATGTGTCTGTAAGGCTGGTAGACGAGGCCCTTTAGTTCAGGATCAACGTGAAAACAGGTCAGGGACGGAATGAGGTCTTTGGGTGAACCACAGTGGTCAGAAACATGGCTCAGAAGGGCCACTGGCCCTTACCTTTGAGAAACAGGTGTTTGCCAGTCCTGCAGGCACGGCTTCTCTCACAAGCTTTTCCTCATAATGCAAGAAGCAGTGATGCCAGAGGCTTTGCAGTCCCAGCATCTCTCGCTCAGGTTCCCCACTGAAGAGGACACACTGGGCAGAGAAGGGATGGGACAGCCCTGATGTTTTTGTTGGCAGGAGAGCAGGGAGGCCCAGCTGTACCGCTGTACTTCCTCAGGGCCCAGTGTGTACCTGGAGGGTTGCCCTGCCTCCATCTGTGCATGGTGTCAGCTGCTCCCCGGGTGTCCCCAAGGCAACTCGGTGCTGCCCCGACTTAGCACACAGGCATTGCTACTGGGGTGCAGGTGGAGCTCAGACTTCAGCATCACCTGGGACATGATCTCGTGGTTCAACAACTGCACTGTGGAGTGAGGCCCTCATTTTGCCAGATACAGACTGCAGGCACTGTCTTCCCAAGGCCTCACAGACTGATGTGTACATGGGGTTGAACCAATAGTCTGGCTCCAGAGCTGTGCTTTTAACAGCAGGGTGGCAGCAAGTAAGAGAAGGAGTGTTGTGCAGTACATCATGTGGTCCCTTTAGTACCTGGCCTCCTGCTAAGGAAGTCTCGGTCTGCTGTGGAAAGTGGCTTCCATTCTAGCTGTCTTGAGCAGGCCCCATTCGTAGCAACGAAAGTGCTCTAACTTCCCAAACCACGCTGCCTTCCCATACCCTGCCGTGTTAAAAGCACCCCATGTTGTATAAACATGCATTTGCTTTCCAGAGAAGTTGTTGGTACCACTTGCAATGTGAAATCTGCTTTTCATCTGGCCCAGGCGCAAGGCTCTATGTGAGCACTATTTCCTGTGTAGATCTGTAGGGAACTTGGTGAGAATACCAGCCTGCCGCCAAGCTGCTGCTGTGGCATATCTGTTTCTAGGACATCCCATTGTTCCATGCACCCTCCCCCGAGGCCTCCAGGTCTGTGCAAAGGAAGGGAAAGGAGCCGGGCAGGGCACTGCACATGGCATAGCTGAGCTGTCCCACATCAGGCTGGCCTGAACTGCAGCACAAGACTAACATGCGCTTCAAGATTTGCTTTATTTGAAAAACAGTGACAGATAGAAAGAGATCCTCCACTCACTGATTCCTGTGTTGCCACAAAGGTTAGGGTTTAGGTCAGAACAAAGCCAAAATCAGTCTCCTACATGGGTGGCAGGGACCCAAGAACTTGAACCATTTGCTTTCTCTGGCAAATTAGCAGAAAGCTGGAGGAAGTGGAGCAACCCAACTCAGACTGGTGCTCTGATACAGGATGCTGACCTTACAAGCAGAGACTTAACCCACGTGCTACAATGCCAACCCCATAGGCATATCATGTACAGTAACGTGGCACTTTGCTGAACAGTCTCCCATCTCTTCCACCCAAGTAACAGGACCCTGTTGGACCCGAGGCCCATGTGAGATGGAGCCCAGTCTGCCTCCTACAGTCTTCATGCCCTGAGAAGGGGCCGGTGAGGCCTGAGCAGCAGAGGTGGGTACAGGAAGCTGCTAGGGTGAGAGGGCCCTTTCTTGGTCCCCAGGACCTCTGTACAGAGCAGGCCCCAGAGCTCAGGCCGCAGCCCCTGGAGAGGAAATGAGGGCAGCATGAGTCGTGGCCATCATCAGGCTGATCAGCTGCTGTAAAATGACTTTCCCACAGTTTTGGAGGTTAGGTTCTAGGGAGACCTCACTTCTGGCCTGCAAACGCTGCCTTCTCCCTGTGTTAGCACACACACCACCTTTCCTGTGTGCTCAGGTCCCTCTTCCTCTTAGAAGCCCACCAGTCCTGGTGGGTCAAGACCTCTTTTAACCTTAATTTATCCCCACAAAGACACCCCCATTGTGGGGGTTGGGACTTCCACATGATTGGAGGGCCACAATTCAGCCCATGGTGGCCAGAAAAGCACAGGATGGCTTTAGTACCCAGCTCGCTTTCCCTCCCCCACTCCATATGGGGAGCAGGTGAACTCATCCCAATTGCTGAGTCTTGAGGGGCACTTAGCCCAGATGCTGTGACTTGATCACATAGCCATCTAGGCCTAGAGCTGGCCCCCTCACCCCAAATCCAGAGCCCTGGGCTTGCTAGATTTCCCTTTATGTTTGCAAACAGCCAAGCTCTTCCACCCTTCCCGCTGGGCCAAACACAGTCCAGAGGGAGTGTGCACAGAGGTGGGCAGAGCAAGTCGCGGAGGCTCCTGGAAGGGATAGCTGTGGGGCCTTGAAGGGCAAGGTCTCACTAGGGCTCACGCAGGAACCTGCAAAGCCACCAAGGAGATCAGGAAGGCTTGTGAGCGCCTGCGCCAGACAGGGGAAGCATTGGAAGGCAGTGTGTGGCTGCCAGGCTGCAACCCACAGGAGTCGCCTAGAGTGCTGCCCAGTCTCGTGGGAAGGGAGACATGGCAGGAACTGCTGATCCTTGGGGCTGGATCTCAAATTGTGCTGATCTTTCCAGCCACGCCTAAAGCCTTGGACTTCAGTGACACCATGTGACTGAGTCCAGTTCTGGAATGAGGTTCTGAAGCTTTCTGCAGTACAGTGTAGGGGATGAAAGTCTGAAGCAGCCAGACCCTGGGATGCACTGTGGGCCTGCTGAGTCAGGCCCTGGAGGAGGACTCAGAGAGCTGGGTGTTTATCTAAGACCCCAGCTGCTGTCTTCCCTCACTGATGTTTGAGCATGGTGGACTCCAGATGGTGCCTAAAGTCTCCTCCAGCTCTGACATCTGGGCTGTGATTGAAGATCAGAGACTCTTGGGCCAGCATTTCTGGATGCTGGAAAAGATCATCAAACAATGATCTCTCAGGTTCTGAAGAGTAAACATCAACATTCCTCCAAAAAGCCATAAATTATGGCTAAAAGCCTTGTTTCTGGACAATGGCTTTAGCTTTCATTTAGTTTGCATTTCTTAGCTATAATGACTAATTAAGACATCTGTTAAATGTCTATAATATTAATTTAATAGAGGGGGGTTCTAATAGAGCCGTATTGGAATTGTCCATTTAATTAACCTCATGGGCCTTTAATGGATGTCTTAAATAGACATCATTAACAAGAGTGCTAGACAAATTAAAATTAGACTCAGTCACATTCTTGGTAATTTTTCCTGAGCTGTGAAGGACGAATAGGGCTACATAGATAAGCGCAGAGACAGGAGTGTCAGAGGGCGAGGTCCAGCGTGGACAGGCGCCAGGTGGAGTTCCATTGCCCTGTGTTGGCCAACGTTGGCCCAAGGCTATGCCACTGTCTAGCCACTGGACGTAGCTCTCAGAGCCAGCGTCTCATACCTCTGGGGAAGTATCCTGGCCTGACTCCTGGATTGGGAGGAGGGGTAGGGATGGGAAGGGAGGAAGGTGGCGGAAGATACAGGACCACATCCAAAGTCCTGGACACCAGAGCATGGGTCACGTGACAAGGAACAGACTGGCACAGGGTTGAACTGGTGATAGTGGGTAGACGGCATTGGTGAGATGGGTTGAAATGTAAACTTTTACCTTCACGGCTCCACCAAAAATCTTTTTTTTTTTTCTTTATTTTGGCAATCTTTACATAGTTAATTATGGCACAAAGGTTCAAGGGTTACAGGAAAGTGGGTAAGACTATTATTTCCACATTGCTTTTTCCTGTATCTGGGGCAAAGGGGGAAGCTTCACCCAGTCTCCCACCCATCCCAGGTCCCTGATGTGGGGCATGCTCCGTGAGTCTTGCTCAGGTGGTTTTGATAGTTCAGCAGTTATGAATTGCTGCCAATCTCGCCATTCCAAGCATGATGAGGTCACTGCAGAGTCCACTGATTGACATAGTCCACCTTAGAGTCTCTGTTTGCCCACTTTTTCACTGCCAACATATGGCTGGGATAGTTGATTGATTTGTTCTGACCTGTGTGTGACACCAAAAATCTCTTGCTGGACAGCTGCACCTTGTTTGTCAGCATCAGCTCTCTGTCTCGCTCAGCCTGCCTTCTGTGCGGGTGAGCACTTGCTTTAACCATTACTCCCTCCCAAAACCCACTCTGTGACCCAGATTGCTGCTACCTTCCACCTTGCAGTGCCCATTGGGCAGTTCCTTGTTACTGCAACGGAGCACCTGAGGCAGCCCACCTTATAAAAGCTTCACTGAGCTCACAGTTTCCAGGGCTCAAGGTCAAGTTGGGCAGCCACCGTTGTTCTCTGGTGATGGTATGCCTGCTAGTCGAGTCCCATGACAAGAGGCTCAGGACAAGAGGCAGGGAGCAAGTGTGTTCATCTCTGTGTCTCTTAAAAGCCACCAAGACTCAGCCGTGGGGGATGGGAAGCCCATCCCAGGGCACTATTTCAATCTGAGCACTTACCTGTTGGTACCATGACTGGATTAAATTTTAGTGTGTTCATCCTTTTAATGCCATTGATAAGAGTGAAAAGTAAGCTTCAAACGTTGGAAGTGCCTCCGAGCTCCATCTCGGACTCTTTTCTACACCTCTTCCACGTAGGACTCAGCATCCTGGGTCATCTTGGCCCTGCAGGTGCTGTTGTTTGTGCTGTGCCTCCCCAGGTGGGGCAGCTTTGAAGGAATGAAGAGAACTGCCCACCAACATCTCTACCAACCCGGTAGACATCAAAAAGGTCATGGGGGGAGGTGTGGCACAGCTGGCTAAGCCACCATTGGGGATGTCCACTTTTCAGAATGTGTGGTTCTTGGTGCTGAGCCTCTTGCTTTCTGCTAATACGCTGGATGCATGAGGAGGCAGTGGATGGTGGCTCGAGTCCCTTTCACCCATGTGAAAGACCTGGGTGGAGTTCTGGCTCTTTGGCCTGGACCAGCCCTGGGGAGTATACACAATCTCAGTGTCTCTATTTTACCGCTTTTCAAATAAAATTAATTAATAAACTTTTTAAAATTGTGTGTTGAAATCAAAATTGAGATAAGCTTATTTTGGTACCCCACCAGTGTTTTTGTAAGGTTTATTTATTTTTATTGGAAAGGCAGATTTACAGAGAAAAAGCAGAGACAGAAAATGATCTGTCTGCTGGTTCACTCCCCAAGTGACTGCAATGGCAAGAGCTGAGCCAATCTGAAGCTAGGAGCCAGGAGCTTCTTCCGGGTCTCCCACATGGGTTCAAGGTCCCAAAGGTCCCTTGACTGCTTTCCCAGGCCACAAGCAGGGAGCTGGATGGGAAGTGGAGAAGCCAGGATACGAATCCCAGTGTGTGCAAGGGGAAGATTAGTTGATTGAGCCAAAACACTGGGGCCTGGACCCCCTAAAATCTGAAGCTCATGCATATAAAATATCTTCGAAGTTCATGGAATTCCATATATGAAGAAACTGCATGGATTTCAAGAAATCTTTGCGAGAAAGTATTTAAAATTGATCAATTTTAAAGAGTTACAAAGAGAGATCTATCTGCTGATTGACTCCCAAGAATGGTTCCCAATGGCTAAAACTGAGCCATGCCAGAGCCAGGA